CGTTGTGCTTTTGGCGCCTGCAGGTAGATGGGCGCCAGCATTTGGGTCTGCGCCTGGAGACGTCGTTGGGGATACAGGTTTCCTTGATATGCCACGCTGCCGGCATGTTCGGCCGGTTCCTTCTGGGCGGCATCAGGTTGGGGTCGAGTGCGCGTGCGATGTCTTTGTCCGTGACTCCGAGTCCTATCGCCCGCGTGATGGTCGCGAAAACTGCAGCGTAGACCAGGTTGCCGGCGCCCAGTCCTACCAGCGCCGAGCAACAGAAGAGGCGCCCGTTCATGCCCCATCCCTTCCTGTCCTGAAGGCCGGGGTCAGTAGGTTAGTCCGCGACGCCGTGCTGGTGCGGATGTAGCCCGAGGCACCATAGCAGGCACGGACCGAGTGCTTAGCAGCCCAGTAGCTTCGTCGTTGCAACGTTGACGTCGTCCTCCAGGTCCTTCCAGCTGTGGTCGGCAGGGAGCGGTAGATCGGCGCGCGCCGAGAAGCCGGCCTGCTGCGCCTGCCGGGCTTTGATTACTTCCTTATCCTTCCGTCTGCGTTCGGGCTCCGCCACGAGCCTGACCTTCTCATCAGGGTTGGCCGACTCGGGTATTTCGTCCACGAAAACCTCTGGGTCGGCCTTGGTTTGGCGCAGGCCCCCGTCTCGATTGATGTGGAATTCGAAGGCGAGGTCTGCTTCCGGGCCCAGGTGCTCAGGTGATGGAGCGCAGCGTTTGTGGCCGCGCGGAACATCCTTGCGTCGGCAGCCATGCTGAGGTTGCACCGTGAACGCGTCAGCCCCACGTTGATGCGGTGCTGGTCGTCGACGCGGCCCCAATTTAGCATGGAGTTGGCCCGAGTGGTCATGAGGATGACGAGGGGGGCTTCTTGCCCTTGGGCGGCGTCGATCGAGGCGACCCGGATCGCCTCGCTCTCCAGGAGTTCTGGAAAGAGCTCTGCGATCCCGCTGAAGTGCTCACTCAGGCCGTTTGCCGCCGTGGCACGATTGATCCATGCTCCTCCCGAGGGCCCCTTGGCGGCGTGAGAGGAGCTGGAGCTGCCCCGTCCTTGCTATCGCATGGAGCTGGGGCCGTTCGTATTCAGGTCGGTTCCGCCCCTTGCGCCGCTCGCGAGCAACGTCTGATGTCGTAGAGCGTGCACGTTTTGCCAGCCAGTACGGGGGTCAGCTGGAGCTTGTACGCCGACAGTATGAGGCTGGTGCTCTTGGTCCGTCCTACCCCTGGTGCGAGGGCACTCACCAATGCAGCCACTGTGCGCGCCTCGCGGATGTTCGCGCAGCCGTCCTGGAACTTGGACTGAACCTCTTGCGAGGAGATGTGGGCGAGCATGAAGCGATGCCGGTCGTAGCCGGTGCCGCTGCTCCCTTTCGGGGCCACGCACGCTGCCTTGCTCCTGAATCCGCCTGCGGTGTCGATCAGGGAGTCGTCAGGCTCGCAGTTGCCGCCCTCGCTCTTCGCTACCTCGTATTCTTGGTCGGACAGCGGTCGCGCGAATGGCCACTCCAGTCCTTCAGCGCATGGCCGCTGCAGCAAGGGGCCCAGGATGGTGGAGATCAGTCTGCCCCCGTAGAACGTGAGCGAGGGCCACGCGAGCAGGAACGGATGGACCCGATAGCTCCTCCAGCGTGACGCTGCACTCGGGGATGTCTCCTATAGCTGCCACGTACTTGGCGAGAACGGAAACACCTCACCCCCATTACAATACTTGCTGGGAGTTGACCGTCGGGCACAGCTGCCGCTCGTCGCCGAAGAGAATCGCCCTGGCCTCGCATCTGACGGCGTGGTTCAGGGACATGATGGCCATGGGCTCGGATGCTTGCCCTGCCTCGTCGAGGATGCATATGGGGAACTTTTTCTCCCGGAGGTCGGTTCCCGCTTCGTGCGCGGCCAAGATCAGTTTTGCCTCGGTAGCGACTTCCGCACGAAACTTGCGGAACCAGCTCGCATGCCCCGCGGTGACGTCGTCCCCCGGTGCGTTGCACATCTTGGCGCACTTGGCTGCGGGGGTGAAACGACGACGACACAGACGACGGCAACGACGACGACGACGCCGACGACGACGACGACGGCGACGGCGAAGGCGAAGGCGACAGCGACGGCGACGGCGATTGAGACGGCGACGACGACGGCGAAAGCGACTGCGACGACGACGAAGACGACGACGACGCCGACGATGACGACAAAGACGGCAAAGGCGGCAAAGACGACGATAAGGATAATGACGACGGCGACAACGACGACGACGACGGAGACGGCGACGACGACGACGACGACGACGACGACGACGACGACGGCGGCAGCGGTGACAGCGGCGGCGACGAAGCACAAGACGACGACGACGACGACGACGACGACGGTGACTGCGACGGCGAAGGCGAAGGCGACAACGACGGCGACGGCGATTGCGACGGCGACGTCGACGGCGACGGCGACGGCAACGACGGCGTCGACGACGACGTTGAAGACGACGACGACGAAACAGACGACGACTACGACGACGACGACGACGGCGACGGCGAGGGCGACGGCGGCAGCGACGGCGACGGC